TCTGCATTAACTCGACGCGAAGCATAATTTTAACATGCGATTACTCCGCGAGATCTATGTCGAACCATAATGTATTCCGTTTGAAATATTCATTTCTCGGATACGTTCCGCGGATGATCCACGAAACGGCATTTTTTTTTTCACATTTTGCATCATCTTTATACGGATATAAATTTTTCAACCTTTCGTTCCTTTTGACTTTACCTAAACCATCCATTTTTTTTTTCAAAATTTATTTCAGCATTATCCACTTTACCTGCAGTTGCAGTCGCAACCCGCAGCTTCGCTGCATGCAGTGCCATCTGTTACCTGTACGAGGCTCTTGGTACGCGACACAGACAAATACCATTTAAAACCCCCTATGACAGGATTCCAAAATTCATGAATATAAAGTTTTTTAAATATTTTTTGTATACCGGACACTCATTAAAAACCGTGACAAAAATTTATGCCACGAAAAAGAATTTTTAATATTTTCATCATTTTACGGAAATACCCATCGTCAAGATGTATAACGGTGCAAATGGTATATATCTTAGCGGATGGTTCGAGTAATTCGAAATCCACGCTTAGAGACTTGTTACCCTTAATTCAATTAGAAACACAAGCAACTGGCCTAACGATCCCATTGACAGTTCTACGCTTCTAACCTGATTGAGAGTTCCAATACCTACTATCTGTGGTCGGATGCTGTGCACGTTACGTACAGTTCAAGACAGACATAGATAAAGAGCACTAGCTATAGAGATAGAGATACAGAGCAATTCTAGATCTGAACCGAGTAGCACGTGTGATTTAATAAAAAAAATTTCTTTTTAAATCGAAAAATTATCGCGTGACTCGATTGTTGGACTTCACGGTGAACACAAATTTTTACGGTCCCCTTCCTGCCCCCCCCCCCATCTACCATAAGAGGATCCTGGTATCTCCCAACGGGACCTGATTTCATTCGGCTCTCCGCAGCCAGTGATTTTCGTACGGATATTAATATTATTTTTCCCCTCCACGTCCCTTCGTAGTCCCGTTATTTATATATTTTTATTTATATAAAAATTGACGCGAGTCACATCCACATATACCAGTGCTCCTATACGGCACGTGGTAAGAGTAGATACCTCAAGGGATGCATTTCTTTGTCGTCACTCGAAAAGGAGGTCGGCCGCGACGCGATACCAACAAAACCGAACGAGAAGTGCATTCGCGGTGCATTCGAGTTTGTTAGAAACTCAATGAAACGTTGAAGACAATCGCGTAACTCAAGTTTTGTTATGAAGTTGGTAAGGCGCAAAGTGTCACGGCGGCCAACTCGTAGCCAAGTGCATCTCCAGAGTTACATAACTCAGATGACGCGAAGCCAGTCGGGACAGTTCGACTAAAATAATACGATGCAGTCTCGCGTTACACGTCTATCATATAAAGTACACCCGGTATACTTTGCCATATGCAAGATAGGAGGAAATGCATTGTGCGAGGAAAATATCGGTGGAAAAAAAAATTTTTTCGTATAGAGGTAAAAAAATTTTTTTTTTTTTAAGTTGGCGCAAATAATTTTTAAGCATAAGACAAGGGTCCGTGCAATTTTTATGAATCGGTGGAATTTTGGAAAATTGGTTATATGCGGGTTTACGGGGAGGAGGGAAGGGGTTGGTCGAAGGGTCGTATTACACGAGGTAAAAACAGTACGTGGGGTCAAAGGTCGGAGCGTTCTAAAGGATACGGGTGAAAATTGTGTGACAAGTAAATGCGGCAACGTAAGGGATCGGCGGATAAACTGTTCTGGGGGTTGTGCGCTAAAGGGTGTCGTCGGCTTTAAAGCGAACTGGAGAAATACGCGAGGATGGGGATCACTGGAGGGATGCTGTGGTGGAATCTATATAAGATATATACATGTAACGATATATTGTCTTGGGGTAATGGATATATATGTATGCATAGAGACCGAGCCGACCTGGTTTGCTATATTGATTGATACATTGCATTGGGAAAAAGTATCGAACTTTTTACCACTTTTACGAATGTGTTTTGTTATACTCCATTTTCCATATTTCTCCGAGAAAATACGTGTATATCAATAAGACAGATTTTTATGTCACGTTTACATCTATACGCTCTTAACGTACTGGGAGTAAGATGGATATTACGTATATACGTCATACGTGACATCCATCCTGCTGCAGGATTTTATATTCATGGATATGTACATATACACAGACATTTTGGGCTTAGGCTAACTAAAGGAAAATAAATTTAAAGGAACGCGGATAAAGCGTTTGGCTTTATTTCCGGGATTGGACGGAGATTTTTATTTTTTTTCTCCGACGGGATAGAAAAAGGTTCAAGGTAAGTAGTTATATATGGTTGAAATCGAAGGGAATCCTGAAAGCGTTCCTTTCGCCTTAGAGACTGGAACAAAGTCCATGAAAAAAAAAAAAAAAAGAAAAATAAAAAAAAAAGTAAAATTCGAGGAAAACGATGTAGCGGAAAGAGAGAAACTCCGTAAAAAGGATAAAATCGGTGATTCCGAAGTGCTATAGTATACACCAAACATATATATATATATCGTACTAAAAAAAAAGGGTATTTGGCAAATCCATAGAAAAGGTCCTCGTTTGAAAATGTCTTCCGACCAGGCAATTATTCTCTCCTCGCCAACAACTGCAAGGAGGAACTTGATAAATTCCTCGCAGCGCCACGGGACGTGTAACCTGGCAACTAAAATGGATTAACTGATTTAGCCAGCAAGGATTGTCCTAACTTCTTTCAATTGGCTGTTCCCAGTAGAATCTTGTGGCTGTGACAAAGACAGCCGTGGATCGTGTTAGTACATTAAAGGCTTTGCTACAAGATCCATGAAAGTCCCTTTCGAGTAAACTGTACCACGGGTAGCCGCACTGTCCAGTGGAATAAAAAAAAATTCCCTAGACTCTGCAAAAGGTTACTTCCCGAAGTAACTAGGTATTCCTGCCAATGAAAATCTTAAGGGAAAGACGGTGTCGTCGACTACGTCCTCGAGGGAAATGGTAAAAAATGTTTCTCTCTCTCTCTTTTCTTTCCAAACTCCATCCATTCCTTCTCTCTCTGTTCCCCGTGAACACCATTGGCCTCTACCTCCTTTGCTATTGCATCGACAGGAGATTCCCTCATTTTAGCTTTCAATCTGCCGAAGGGGATCCGATTTTCTTTCTCATTTCCACTCCAAAGATATCGGAAAGGTGTCGGAGACTACTGGGAGATCTGTCGCTTAGTAACCTCGGTGCGCATGCGCCAATTCATTTAAGTCAGGCAAGAGTCTATATACTGGGAATTACAAGTGGCATTGAACGGACGTGGGATATTTCAAGAGATTCTTATCAGGGTCGTTAAGCAGCATCCAGACGCTGTTAAAAATGCTCCGGAATCTTTAATACTCTTATTCAGGTGTCTACTTTATTTTTATCTTTAAGGTCATAGGTCACGTACGCTCCTCGAGGACACGACGTTTGCCGGTCCGCTGGTTATTCCGAAGGGGGCGAGTGCTGAACTTCTTCAACGATTCTAAGGGTAGTTTAGTACAAGTACCGTACGTGTCGCTAGTGTATATATGTATATATATATATATAGGTATGGTTGCGTAAAGCGTGTAGAAAGATACCAACCCTGACAAAGAGTTCAGGTGAAACTGCTTAAAGAACTAGTTCAAGTGCGGTAGAGGTAATGACGGTTAAAGGTGCCCGACTCATAGGTATAAAGCCTGGTTCATATGCTCGCGGTCTAATGGGCTTCGTGTAATGTGGCAGCTGTGCTATCGCAACGTCATACGTTGTCGCTCCTTGTTCCTCTACTGGTTTATGGTAATTGAGCCGGGAGATAATGCGAATTTATAATTGCCGTCAGTCTACCTCAGTGCAGCCAACTGCGAACGCTAGCCTAATACGTAAACGCGCGTTCACATGTAAACCAATTCCCAAGAGCCTATTTAGCTAACTCGCATACTCAATCGTTCATCTCTTTGCGTTAATCGCGATTACAAACGAAAATTCATGCAACGACGAATTTGATAAGAGTGACATTCGTCGCTGGGTAATTAGCGGGTAATTAGTAACAAAGTCAATAATTGCTTGAATCGAGAAATTAACAATTTTTAGAATTAGATTTCGAATTTTATACGAAGACGCATAGAGAGGTAGGTCATCATTTCTAATAGTCAAAAAAGATATGATTGATGAACCGGAAATCGAAAAAAATAAAAAATTTTTTTTTTTTCAAATTTACGATTTTACTCCAACTCGAATTTAATGTAAATTTTTTTTTTTTTTTCCGAATATTTAGTACTGAAACATTTTTAACGGCTCGACGACTTTATTCGGATGCGAATGAGTCACCCTGGGATCATGACTCTATGGAAAATTATGTAATGAAGTTATGAGGGACTGCCGAACGTCCCAATTTGGCGGATCCTTATGATGACTTCTTTTGACGAATTACTTTGATGACGATAGCGAGAAGCGAAATTGGGAATTCGCGATGTCTACGCGTGGCTGGGCGAGCGGGAGCGCGAGAGAGACGAAATAATTAAGGGACCGTCAGAGAAGGCTTTATTCGTCGGCAACCGTGAAAATTGGTTCGTACGTAATTTCGGGGATGTCATTATTTACGTATTAGTTACGTCACGTGAATTCAGGAATGATGTCGGAAATAAAATTGTGGCTTGGGAATGATTTCGAAAATTTTGGTTGATTAATTGCCAGGATGTTACGAAAACCCTTTGCAATGTGTCGCGCAAGCATTCAGCGTACAGTCAACATGGAAATTCGATTCTTGAAGAATTATAGAGAAATCGAGATACGTACAAGTTTTGAGCCAGATAGGTCGAATTAGTCAAATTAAATTTATATTTCGTACGTTATTCCAATTAAATTATGTCAATTAGCTTGAATCTTGCAATATTTACTTCTACTACTTTGCAATTTATTAATTGTTGGTTATGCCCTTATATATGTAATTATTTATCAATCACTCACCTCAAGCACGTGTTCGGCCTGATTCTCGCGATCCAACTTCCTGCCACTGGTGGTGATGAGACCTGAAACGAAGATGAAAAATAATTAAAAAAATATTAATTAATAATTACACGATACTCGCGACCCTCGATATCAAAATGAATCTGGGTATCCGTCGAGAGCAATGATCTAATCAATCGGAATATATCAATCAGTTTACCTAATCAGAATATATTTCACCAAACGAATAAGATTCCTTATATAAATATCAGAGGTATTTGTCCCAAAAAATATTTATTTCCCTTAAAAAAAAAAAAAAAAAAAAAAACACCCTTAGACACCCTTTCGGCATTTTACTTTGATGCACTGCAATCGGCCCGTCAGACTCATAAATTTGTTTTGAAATTGACAAATATTTTTGTTCAAATCTTACCAGTCACGCTACACGAGAGCATTTTCATCAAATTTAACAATTCTATACGAAATTACAAACCAGCTACTTTATTCGCCAAACTTTATTTACTCAATGTTCTCTCAATAAGCGAAGTATTCCTCATAGAGAAGCGTGCAGTAGTGCGAAGCCCCTTTTGATATGTGCAAATACATAGGGTAGTGACTGTTTTTACAATTTTTATGGTTTCTCCTATAGCGGGTCGACTATTGGCACAGGTTTTACATTCAACTGCGAACGACTAACCAGGTTAGCGAGAAGCCGTTTCGCTGCAGAACTTTGCGACAGTGCACGTATACCTATATAATATATGTATAGATATATTTTATATGTCTCCGAAGTTCCATTTTTCTCGGGATACCATAGTACGGTATCTATAGCATGTAGGAAAATGCATAGAGATCTAGGTCGTTATTACCGAGGCATATACGTAAAATGAATTATAACAATTTTTGTAATACTTCTGGCCAAGAGTGAATTGCAGTTATTTTTTAAAGATAATTTCACAAGGATCCATTTTGCTTTCGCTTGGTAAGAAATAAATAATGCTTGATTCAATTAGCAGAATCGTCGTCCAGCATCTTAAATCAACCCTTTCTGTGCTCCAGGGATAATTTTGTGTATAAAAAATGAATTTCCGTCGTGTATCGATTAGATAATCAAGATGAGAAAATTTGTGAAAATGTCTGATACTAAAATTCGATATTTATTATATTATTATATACTGGGGTCACGCGAACTCATGTTGCATTATAAAATCCACACGGCTCATAGAGTTTTCCGGTCAGTATCGCAGGTGTCAGCATTTTCGCGAAATTCCCTCGCGGCAATCTGTGAAAATCATTTCCCACCGAGTTCTCCGAATTTTTCCGATAAAAATTGCGAACCCGCGTTCTTCTTTATCTAATAACGAAACTTTTTTCTGATTCGGCCGCCCCTCTCGAATCCTACAAAGGAATTCGGATTCTGGCAACCTTTGCATATTTTTTTTTGACAATCAAATTTCGTCCACACTACTTGGAACAGATTCGATTTTTTTTTTGGCAAACTTTCAAATTTATTATAATAATTTTATTCGCACGATTCGTAAGCTGACTTATCAAAAGAAAAAAAAAATTGATAAAAAAAATATCAAACAGACACCTTGATACATTTTTTGAATTCATTTTTCGTCTCCGTCATCGACAGCATCCGTTCCAAAAGATTCGATATCGTAAAATGAAAGCGACACGGTGCGCATGAACGCGACAAAATATTCCAAGCTAATCACGATATTACAGGAGATTTCCATACATATCAGCATAACGACACACGAGTATGTAACATACGAGTGAAATAGGTTGGATTTAAAAAAAATTTTTTTTTTATCAAAATCAAGTAAAACCAACCTCCGGACTAAATTCGGAATAGCGATACAATAAAACTACCCCCCCTAAAAAAAAAAAAAATATGAAAAATTCATTAATCCGCGAGAAGATATTTCAGACTGTCACGTATAGGAAGCATAAGAATATAGACCTAAGAAAACGGCGTCTTATCACCTCTAAAATCTCATATCATGGAACCCCCGCGTGGGATTATCGCCGAGGTAAACGCACTAGGCGTCTTCCTTATTAAACATTTTACTATCCGCCCCCGGTCCTCCCAAGGGTATCCCCCAATAAAGCTCAACAAAGCCGTACGCGACACGTTATCGACGAGAATCTGTATAGTAAAGTTATAATTACGCCCGGCACGTCTTAAAGGTTTAAATTTCCCGCCAGGATAGACGCAGCTTTGAAATCGTTGATTAATTTTAACGTGCATTTAATGAACGTTCCTCCTAATCGTCCCGAGCATAGTCATTCCCACTTACACGAGTGCCCTAACCTTAACCCCTAGTGAATAGTACCAACCGTCTTGCACCTAGAGCAAGATACAAAATTTCAGCCCCGACCCACAAGTAACTACAAACATATGAAATAAACCGAATTAATTCCCTACGTAGAAATCCCCATACACGTACATCATACGTACATATAGCCCATCCTATCAAAACCGTATTGCCTAACCTCAAAACCACAAGACCTTATTTTTGCCTTATCAGTGGCGCCACCCCGTTACCGCTCGGGAACTAACTTCAACCGATAAGCCCAAACGGATACTCAGGTGAGGCCTTAGCAAAAACCATTTTCACGTGCTGGTCTTATCCGATCTCGTAAATTAGATGGTCGACTGATTGTATCCGTAAATATAAAACAGAACGTTAGGGTTGGGCTGGGTTAATATTTTAACCACCACAACGTCAGTGGGCCATTTTTACATAACAAATAAAAAACATTTCTAGAACTGCCGTGCCCGAATCCCCCGTCGCAAGACCCAGTACGGAAATTACGGTTGTAAAATACGTGGAGGGCAGGGTTCTCGTACTGCATTATATCAAGGGCTGCTCTATTTAGACACCAGGGGGCAGCAGTCGTCAGGTAGCTGCGATCCAATAAGCAGATGCAATTTCGACTTGCCGATATTACTCACGTTATTACTCTCAGCTTCGAGCATATAGATATACATTCAGCCCAAATTACAGGAAAGGGGCGGAAAACGTGCAATTATCAACAAATTTATTACCACCCTTCATGCACTTTTAATATGACGAATGCCCGACGTTTATCTCCCATTATTTAACCATACGTATAAATCAGTATGCGCCATCCTGAAACTAGTCTTACCTTTATACTAGACTCGTTCGGAGTTAATATCACCCTTGTTACGTAAGCACGAATTTTTAATACTTCCCGTTACACTTTGTTTTTCTTTCATCCCTTTTAGTCTCTCAACCTCCACGATACACGTGAAACAGCCTTTGTACCTATCAGCGCGGTTAACGAGCATATTTGGTCATCCCTGAAAGTACTAATTGCGATGCACGTGTAATTGAGGAATTTATCAATTTTGTGTAATATGAGTCGAGTATATATATATATGTATACTTTTTTACGTGCACGAACATATATTCTACATGCGTGCTGCGAGTTCGCTCGCGAACGTCCTCGTGATATTTTTGCATTGATTACGTAATGCGAATTCCAATGACTTCCGGCAGATTTTATTTCATTGCTTCGCAGTTTCATTTAATCCTACTTTTGTCCGAAGTCCTTCGCAAGACCTGTAGACTGTGTATCCTGTCGGTCGACGATTTGCGTAATAACGAAGATAAAAAGAATTGTCAGAAGACGAATAATGTCTGGCGCTTATGGAATATGGGATAAATCGGTACGTTGACGTATCGATAACCCTAATGACATTACCGACTGATACAATTCATTCGTAATTGCGACCATTTCCGTTTGTCGTTCATCATTGCCATTTACATTCGCGTGTGGAGCCTCGAATATAATCAGTGATAGTTTTAAAGGAATTTTGAAAAAATTTTCGAAATTTTTTTTTATCACGCGTTTCAACAGTATTGTACGACGGGCGGTTTTTTTCGTGATTTCAAGATTGACAAAGAATTTTCCTTTTTTTTTTTCTTCACCCTGCTTAGATTCGCGAGCCCTTTAAATCTATCTCGATCGATCAGAAGGAAGTGGCAGCCATGTGCCGTTTTCTCTAGGCCGATTTCGGTAATGGCGTCGAACCTTGGTTATCAAGCAGGAGAATAGGGACGTCGTAAGATTTGACGAGAAGCAATGTATCTCGTAGTGAATTCTTTGTCATCTGAGAAATGCTTTGGTAGGTTGGTAATCCATTTCTACATCGTACGTACAGTATAAGGACGTGATAAGGCAACCTTCAACGCGAATTCGTACGAAAAGACTCTTTGGGGATTCTGACTAAAACGATGACGTCACTACACGTATATTTACGATCGACGGTAGTGACGTTTACATGAAATAACGAAATTACCAGAATCAAGAAAAAAAATATACGTTTGGAAATTATTGAAGAAAAAAAAAAGGAAAAATATAAATTGACAGTTCGTTACTGCCGAGGGGTAAAATGACAGGGTAAAACGAAGTGGGTGGGACGCGATGAAAAATTTGTGAGTCCGAGGTAAACGAGAACGAAAATGAAATTTTCTTTAAAAAAATATATATATATATTAAACAGATCGTTCTTAGGCCCTCTTCTTTTTATGATTCGTCAATTTCAAATTTCGTCACGGTTCGTTAAAAAATATCATAAAACATCGTATCTTCGACTTACCCGTCGTGGAGTTTATGAGAAAGTAGCCCTCGGGATTTCCACTGGTGATGGAGAAGACGACTTCCTGGGACGTGACGTCACGATCAAATGCACGTATCTGTACGACGCTCAGTCCGCTCGACGAATTTTCCGGTACGGACGGATAATAAACCGGCAATTCCGTAAGCGGTGTGTTATCGTTCTCGTCAAGAATTTCCACATAAATCTAGAAAAAAAAAAAAAAAAAAAAAAAAATACAGTGAAAAAAAGTCAGATAATCACTCCCGAGACAATTACCAACAATTAATTATAAATTACCTGCAATTTCGAACTGAGCGGTACGACTGCATGATCCTGGGCATAAATCGTCAGCCAGTATCCTGCTTTCGTTTCCACGTCGAGTACAGTTTTCGTTCTGATGTTTCCTGCAACAAGAACAAAATTTCGTAAGCAAACGCACAAGCAATACGAAGGATGAAGATCAAACCTTAAAATACCTAGACAGGAGGAACCTGAGGAAAAACAAAAATCAGTACTGCCAACATGGCAGAAACGTGTGACCCAAGGTACGGACGTTATGTAAGTTCCGCTTGTGACGTCATCGGGACGAGCGATCCATTAAACGAAAAAGACATAAATTCCAAATGGGTTGATAAGCAACGATATTATAATTCACCGTCTTGTAAATTGTGCCTCGTTAAATTTCAAGCGTACGGACAATTATTAATTTACCTACGCAGAAGTCTCCGTACACATCGCTTTCCGGCCAATTTACATAACGACTAAGTCATTAGCTACCCTAATCGAAAGCAGCGCAGCCGTTATACCTTGCTGCCGTTATACCTTGCCAGCGAGTAACGGAGCGTGCACCGTCAGCGCCAAGAGCCAAGGGACGAATGCATGCGAGGAGGACGCGCTCGGTGTTTAATGGGCGAACACGCAGGAAGGCGCATTAGATTTACTTGGGTTTCCTAAGGCGTACAGGTGGCGCGTGTTCAATTCAACGGCGCAGCACGGGACTTCGCTTGCGAGATCTCATTTTCATCAATCCATCCCCACCGAAGGTAAAACTTAGTACCAGACCCGCCCCTGGAGATCCGACCCTGCCAGTAGACTCCCGGCAACCCTTCTATACTAATTTTATTAGATGACGCGCACGGTAGACGACCGAGGGGTGTCTCCGAAAATGTATTTTGATCTTACGGGTGACGGGGGGTACCAAGTCTCTCTTACGGTGGAGCGAAAGGGTCGATTGACGTTTCCCGGTACGGTCTGCCGTCTCGACGTCTCGTAAACCATCGTATTGTCGTTAAGTCCGTGAAATCGACTTTGGGACAATCTCTCGCAGTCTGTGAAGTCGGACGAGTCTGAAAACGCGAAGCGTCGTCATCGAGCGATAGTGGAGATAAGGAGGGACTTTATCAATCGGATTTACGTGGATTTGGACAAAATTATTTTTATGATATTTTCACGCTGGTATCACTGGGGATGATAGGTTTCGGGTCTCATCTTCGGGTCTCATCTTCGGGTTTTTCTGTATCGATAATTTGGAGGAAATGAAAAATTTCTTTCAAGAGGGGGTTCAGGTTGACTGGATGGTTAGTTAGGTGTGTGGTTCGACTTGGAAATAATTATGACGTCACTCAGTCTTACCGTGCCATTCATATTTTTATATCAAGTGTCTGGCTCTCTAGTGAATATAACTACTGCCGGCTCTCATCGGCGAGACTTATTGCGCAGTCACGTTAATGCTTTCTTTTCACTTGGCTGAAAGTCAAGATGGCGGCTTCCTTTGACGCCGTAGGAGACATTCGCGGCGATGATAATGAGTGCTTTCATTGAACGTCGTAAATCATTTTTTTTTTTTTTTTTTTTTTTGGTTTTTT